TTTCTATGAAATCTCAGCTGCCCCAAACTCTAATTTGTCTTTCTCCATGGCCGTACAAATGCATAAAGCTCTGCTGAATTATCTGTTTCTTAGCAGGTACATTTTTTTCCTTTTCTTTCCTTTTCTTTTCTTTTTTAAGTCTCTTGGTCCAGTCCAAAATGTGGCAGAAAGTGGCAGACTACCCAACAATTAAGGAGGAATAGAGAAAGTTTGATTTACTTCCAAAAGCATTCTTCTCTGGAACATGATTTTCAAGTCCTGACTGCCTTGGAAGCTCTTTGATATTTGGGGTGAGGAGGATATAAATATTTCAGATTTTCTAGTTGCTCTTAGAGGGAGCATTGCTGTTCTGCTACAAGCTACTATATAATAAACAAAAGTGGAAATTTTGGACTTTTATTGAGTATTTACTATTTGCCAAGCACTCTATTAGATCCTTACTATGTTATGCTACTTTTTTTTTTCAGCAGTACCTTAGATGCTGAGACTCAGATATTGAGACTCAAAGGGACTGCATAACTTGCTCAAAGTTTTTAAGAGGCAGAATCAAGAAATATACTTCCAAGGTTTTTAAAGCTTCTACTCTTTCCATCATACTAAACTCAACATGGAATATAATAGACTATCTGGTAATGGTTACAGGTTAATGGTAGACTCCTGCTTTATGCCATTTGGTCCAAAATAACATAAAATTGGATATCTGAAATCCTGTATCATAATTTTCAGAAGGAAAGCAAGACACCCAACAGTAATGAAAATTAGAGAGATCACTAAATCTTACCCTTCAAATTTTGAAGGAAATAATTCAAACTTCTGGCTTAAAGGAGCAGAAGATGCTCAAAAGAAAAATTACAAAAAGAGGAAAAGATAAAAGGTGAGTGGCAAAAGGAAGTTTTGTTTTGTTTTTAAATCATGTATGTTGGTGAGAAGTGGTTCTGGTGTTTTAAATGCAGAGCTGGACACCAGGTTTATGAAAAGCAAAGCTGTATTTGTATAAAAGAGGTGAATGGTGACTTAACAAAGTGTTGAAGTATTAGGTTCATGATCTGCAAAGTGTTGAAACACTACATTATTTTAGACTTTAAAAAAATCAGTTTTCTAACTTCCGTTATGTAAATACTTCCTTCTTATCTGTAGTGATGAAAAGCAAGAAAAGAATGGCAGGAAAATGTGACAACTGGAGGTAATAATCACTGCAACTGGTATTATACATACACATTATCTCACAGCATCCTTTTGAGACAGGCAAGAAAAAAATGTCACTGAAATTTGTTACCACTATTTACTGTGGAGCAAAACTTGAAGTAAGGTATATCTGGATGTGTTCAACATGACAGATAAAAAATTTTTATCTAACCAAACAATAATATACCTAACCAAACAAGTGTAAATAGACAATAGAAGGTGCAACCAGCTTGGTTTTTGACCTATGAGCTAGTACTATAGGAAAAGTGGAGAACTGGGGGACAAGAAGTGAGAGACCTGTTTAGAAAATTAGAGATTTATGGAAGGACTCAGGAGAGGAAAGCAGGTGGAGAATTGGTTGTGCTTGGCTCCAGATTTATGAGAGCAGCAAGTCCAAAAACGTAATCTTAAGTGTCATGCCCACTGGGTAAGCACTAAAGTCAGCTGAAGAGCCTCATAAGTTTTAAATTGGCCAAATTTACCCAGGCCCAAGGCGTATTGTATCTATCCTGTAAGATTCCACCCCACTTTTTTTTTTTTTTTTTTTTTTTAAAGAAACTTGTTTATTTTTATTTGTTTTTTTGTTTTGTTTTTGCGGTATGCGGGCCTCTCACTGTTGTGGCCTCTCCCATTGTGGAGCACAGGCTCTGGACGCGCAGGCTCAGCGGCCATGGCTCACGGGCCCAGCCGCTCTGCGGCATGTGGGATCTTCCCGGACCGGGCACGAACCCGTGTCCCCTGCATCGGCAGGCGGACTCTCAACCACTGCGCCACCAGGGAAGCCCATCCACCCCACTTTTGCTTGGCTTAGAAACAGAGCTCTAGGGCCCCAACGTTTAGGAACTTGCAGAGGCAATAAGCCAGCCTGGGACCTCAGCTCTGGTGTCTTACATAGGGCCAAGAATCCAATGAGCATGCAGGTTCTCTAACTATCAGAGTGTGGTAAAAAAAAAAAAAAAAAAAAAAAAAAATCCACCAGGCTTGAGCATTTCCAGCACAGTATTGAAGGGTCAGCAATGGTTTCCCTGGCAGTGCTGTGTGCTGCTGTTTGCCTAGAACCACTCCCAGTTTTATGCTTCTCAGTCACATGCATTTGCCCAGGAGTTTTCTAAAATAGGAAAACAGCAAGAATTTAACATCCTATTTTTCCATGGAACTCAAAGGAATCTGTAACCAGGGCCATCTGAAGAAGGGAATTAACAGAGTAGAGGAAGGGAACTTACATTTGTTAAATGATGATTATGATAAGGCAATTTTTATGTTTTTGTTTTTTTTCTTTCTTAATCCTCCCAACAGCCATTTGTGGTTTGTCTGAATCTGCCTGGTGAGTAAGGCTTGAGTTCCTCAGGACAGAGAAGGTATGGCGTCTGCACATTCATATTTCCTCTGAGGGCGTTTGGCAAGTCATCCTGACTACTAATTGTTATTATGTTAATATAATGTGAACACACTCTAATATTATAGCTACACACTCCCACGTAATGTTGCCTATTCATTTGCTCCAGTGTTAATTAATCTTCAGTTGCAATTCGACAAGCACTTATTGACTTAGTGACAGGATTGATGCTAGTTAGATAACACAGGCAGGATTTAGTGGTTACCTGGATAAGCTGGAGGTCACGTCAAAGAGGGAGGAATTTGGGGTAACTCCTAGGTTTCCTACTGGGGAAAAAGGCGGAGCATGGGAAGATTAGGTTGAGTTCAGTTTTGGACATGCTGAGTTTAAGGTTCCTTAATGAAGTGCATGTCCATCAAGAAAATAGCTATTTTTTTTCCAGGGTTTACTGTACGGTAAGCACTGTGTTAATGGCTTGCATGCATTCTCATTTAGTTCTCATGAATATATGTGGTAGGAGCATGGTTTATCTCATTGGAAAGATGAGTAAACTGAGGCATAGGGAGGTAAGTAACTTGCCCAGTTTGCCCAAGGTGACAGTGAGTAGGTGGTAAAGCTTAAGATTTAGATATTAGACTCATTGATGAACAAGTGGTAGTTGACCCATGAAAGTATATGAGATCTTTTAGTAACGACCTGTTTACTGGAAAGGACAGTGAGGATGAGGGACAGAACTCTGGATAATATCAATATTTAAGGAGTAAGCTGATGAAAAGGAACACTCTACGAAGGCCAAGAAGAAGTGGTCATTGAAACAGAGAACCAGGAGAAGAAATTTCAAAAAGAGAGTGCTCAATACTGTCAATTAGAGCGAAGGCACTTCGCAAAGGAAAGTCTGAGAGTACTCATTGCATTTGCCAATGTGCAGGTCCCCGGTGTCTTCAGTAGCACGTGCAAAGTCAGTGTCCAGTGGTTTGAGGAGGAGACAGCTCTAAGTGAAACTGCACTAGGTCCTACGTGAATATGTTGGCCCTCCCAAACTGCAACAAAATGAACCTATTACCAGCTTGCTACCTGGAAATGTGTTTTTAGTCCTACTTCCTTTGATTACTGCAAAATGCCAAAATAATCCAATAGGGCTATTGGATGGAGGTGGGCGTGGGTAGAGAGCATTCACCCATGCACAGGAGAAATGTTCCTGAGATGCCACTTATGATAAGAAGAACCAGAACAGGGAGGGCAAAGGAGAGTTTTTCTCAAGTCTGGCATAAAATCTCCTCGGAAACACTAAAATATGAGAACCCTGAAGAATCTATCTTGCATTTTACTCTTTTCCCCTTTTTTATTGCTAATGAATATATACTAGAATGTCAACCATGAGCAGGAAAGCATTTCCACCCCTATAGCATGTTATTTGCATGAGGGTGGTATTGTCTTGTTTACATGTCATGGAACCTATGACCTGTCACACGTGATTATCATGTCAGCTTATTAACATGTCAGAGAGTACAACTCCTGGCTTACACCTCAGAGGGGAAACTGCTTAGGGTGTGTGGGGGGGGGCTAGCCAGATGAGGCAGAGTTCTGCTAGCTTCCAGTGCCAGGGAAATCCTGGACAATAATCAATACCAAACCTAACTATGAATAGGACCACACAAGGGCACATAACTGGGAACCAAACCTCCTTCCTACTTTGGTCTGATCTCTTGGCAAGTTTCCTTGCTAGTCCGAGCTTTGCTCCCACTTACTTGGGGAGGAATCTAGACACAGGAGTTATTTTTAAAAAGGACAGGGCAGAAGGAAGGGTTGGAAAGCCACTCGCAGATCCTGGAGGGATCATGAAGAAGAGGGTTCTGGTTAATTACATGATCCAGGGCTTCACATTTTAATAATCATTGATTGATGGATGGAAGTCAAAGAAAAAGCCAGGGAAAGATCTACACACGTTTAGAGATTTTGAGTTAGAAATGCTCTCCTTCTAACTTTTCCGAAACGGAAGTCACATGGTGAAAACAAAGTAGTGATTAGGTAACTAAACAGGCCACAGCATTCTCTGAGGACTTCTAAGTTCCCAGGCCAGGCCTGCCGCTTGCCTGGGAGATGAGCATGTGCTCCCGGCCACAGCTTCTCCTCCCCTGACATCTTTCTGCCAGATGGTCATTCTCTAATTCTAGAGGTGCTTGGCCCTCCTGGTTCCTGCAACCTGAGCCGAGAGAACTTTGATCCACCAATTTCCCCCTCCCTCCACCCCTCTGGCGAGCAGGGCCTGGCGCCTGGACGCAGGGAGAGGCCAGGCGTGGAGACCCTTGGCACTCTGAGAAGGAGCTCCGTGGCCCGCCTCTGTGTGCCCGAGGTACAGCGTCTGCGCTGGCTCCGAGGGTTCCGCGTCAGCCTTCTCCCGCCTGGCCAGCTGGCAGCACGAACCGACGCCTTTCACCATTTACCGGGTGAATGCGCTCCTTGCTCATGAATCTCCCTGTAGGGTTATCCGGCTGGTTTTTAATTACAGTCCAGAATCTCAACAAATTACAAATGTTTTGTGTAAACATAATAAGGGTGTGGATCCAATCCACTAGCAATTGTTAATAGAAAAAAATAAAAACTAAAAAACTCCACAAAGACCTAAACAAGAAAAAAATATCAATTCTGCAGGGTCTATGCCTCCAGGATTTGCTTTCTTGGGGACCCTCCCAGAGCGTCCTCCCAACTCACCCCGCCGCCCCAGCTCCCTGTGGTGAGAACTACGGATACCCTGGGAAGGAATGGCCTTCTGGAGCGGTGAAGAGTCCCCGGAGCCTTTTCCGCAGGATTCCAAAATAAGCATGCCGGGACTGCCAGAGGGGCCCTGCCGCCTGTCTCCAGACCCTGTCTCAAGCTGGCATCTCCCTTCCCTTGGACACCCCGGGAGTCTGCCCCCTAGTTCCAAATTCTTCTGGGCTTGGAGGACACTCTGTCAGCCCTTCTCCTGCCACGTAGTCCTCAAATGCCACCCCTGGAGGGGGACTCCGGGGCCTCAGGACTCTAGCGCAGCGCCGAGAGCTGCGCTGTGGCAGCTGGGCCAACCCCACACAGTCTGCTGGTATTTGAACTCTCACTCCGGAAGACATTTTGGGAAAATATTGTGCATAGAAATGTATAGATGTATATATGTGTACATATACACACATATATATGCATGTATATGTAATTTGGTCGACAAATGCTAAGCAAATGTGCCCAGTGTTTTTGTTGAAACCGTTAGCATCTTAGTTGGTATTGGTATAATTGGTTGATATTATTATAAGTATGACAAGTGGATGATGTAAAGGGAGCGCCCGATCCCCTTGGAAAACACAGCGGAACACAAGTGGAGACATCTGATTGTTTCCAACTGCCCGTATCTCCCCTGTCGCTACCTCTCGGTCACCAACCAGGCTGACGGCACACTCTGGACAAGGCAACTTCCTCCGAAGGGCGATCTCCCCTCATATGACTGAGATCAATGTGTCTTCAGGGGAAGCGGCAAGTCCTGGGGGTGTCAGAAGCCCCTAGTCCCTTATCCAGACCTTTGTCACAAAAGGCAGTTCGGTTGGTATCAAGGACGAAAAGAAACATTAAAATACAACTGTGTAATGAGGGTGGAGAAGGAGGGAAAGGCTAGGGCCTGCTCCATTTCTGGGAAGATCCGAAGAGGCTGACTCGGCTGCGGGGACATTCCCAGCCGTGCCTCGCGGGGCGTGGAGAGAAGGGAGAAACGGCCGGCCCCTCAGCCCTTTCACCTAAGCTCATGCAGCGGGACGCCGGCTGAAAACCTCTCTATGCGATTAAGTCACGTCCATTCCAGCCGGTGGCACTGACACATGTGCGCTCGGCTTAGGCGCGCGCAACCAACGGTTTTGGAAATCTCCGCGCAAGGCACCCGCCTGCAACGCTCCCACTCCGGCGGGCCCACCTGGGAGCTCGGCCGTCTCCCACCGGCATCCCGCTAGCCCTGCCGCGCAGCTCGCCCCAGCCCAGACGCGGACAGATGTTTACTGCTTAGAGCCCCGACCACTGGGGAGACGGAGCGACGGGCTCTGCGCACCACGCGGCGCTGGCTGGGCTCTGGGGCTCGCGGTCCGGGTGCGAGCGGGCCGCGGGGGAGGGCGAAGGGATGGAAAGAGGAGGGAGGGAGTGGGTGGGCTAATGATGAAAAAGTCTCCTCCATCCCGGCTCCTTAATTAAATGCATGGAAAGAACCGAGGCGAGCACATCTGGTTTCAATCTGCAGCCCTTTGATGGCATCAAATGTTCTTTTCCTAGATCAGGGCTGGAAGTTCTGGGCTAACTGTGGCCGTTTGGAGCCCAGAAACCATTTACACACACTCGGACCCTTCTTTCTCTCCAGTCGAGCCTCTGGGCTATAGGAGAAAAAGGGAAAAAAAAGAAAAAAAAAAAGTTTAGTAATCAAGGGAGTGAGGGAATATGTGTGTGTGTGTTTAACGAACATAAAACGCCACAAATAAACACTTAATATTTTACTTACTAGTCATATAGTAACTCATTTCTAATGAGACTATTAAAGCTGTACCAAATTCCAACAGGTCATGAAAAAATCGCTCAGCACCTCTCTGTCCTCTGTCAAGTTAGGGCTCAGCATTAGAACGACAAAGCATTATCCGTAGACTTAGATGGGGGTTCGTCCACCCCTCTCCGTCCTTCCTCCCTCCTCCACCCCCAGGGCAGCCGGACTGTACCCTGAACCTCCGCTGGAGCCTCCGCCCGCAGCTGGCTCTAGGAGTGCCCCTGCTTCCTCCGCATCTGGGCAGCGCGACCCTCTCGGCTTAGCGTCGTAGCCTGGGGAAGCGACCTTGGCCGCACCAAAGAGGTTACGAAATTGGCCAGCGTGGGGGGAAGGGGAGCAATTATGACAAACTCCTAGAGTCCTTTCTTCCAGCTAAATAAATATGTAAATTTCCTACTGCCTGGCCCCGGGATTCCTAGCGGCGCGGAAAGACTCGAATCGATTCAGTGCCTTCTAGATCTCCCCCAACCTGCCTTCAGTCCACGGAGGAAGCGTGGGAGAGCCTTCCATTATGATCACTCCTGTCATTTTATTACATTATTTAATAGGCTGCCTCTACAGGGCCAAATGCAGCCTTAATATGCTTGCTGTCTCCCTTGTTCTCAGACGCTCTTCCAGCCCCACCACCCAAAAATTGTTAGAACAGCAGGAAACGTAAAAAAAAAAAAAAAAAAAAAAGGCAGAGGGAGAAGAAAATTTGATTGAGATAGTTGTGGATTTTTTCCAACAAGTTTCCCCGCAGCTGTTATCAAAACATGCAAATGAGATTTTCCAACAGGATCTTAAACAAATCTGGAGGAGTTAATGCCGAAGCAAAATAATCAGCCCGTTTGAAGTGACTATGGGTTTCAGTTTGTCTTTTCTCCCCGTGATACTATTGCAGGGGAATGATAATTAGACCTTTACTTAAAAAATCTGAAGGGGCTCTCTCACTTTCTTTCCCCTCCCTTTTCTCCCCCTCCTCCCTCTCTCCCTCTCTTGCTCCCTCCCTCTCTCCTTCTCTCTTGCTCAGAAGTTGGCAAAGGGGGTTTTCTTAATCAGACTGTTTTTTTGGTCCGAGGGAAAGGAGGAAGAAGGAGATTGTGATGGAGAAAAGGGGTCTGTAAAACGTCAGGCACCACACAAAGGCTTTGCCACGTAATTACAGGCTCCTATTAAGTCGAGATCTGCCCTCCCAGGGGTCTCCAATTTTCTTGTATTCCCTACAAAGCCTCCTCTGCATGCCAGTTTGTGCCTTTTGAAGTGCCAGAGAGCTTCTTGATCCAACTGAGAAGGAAAAAGGAGCTCAGCAAGAAGAGGGGGAGAGGGAGAAGGGAACGGGGAAACCCACCACCACCCTCCTTCGGACTCTTGGAGCCCTTTTTTTTTTTTTTTTCCTTACGAAAAGTAAAGTGAGAATCCTGCTCTCCAATACATCTGCAAGACATCACCCTCTCCTCCTGAAACTTTAGTCACTCCTGAGAATCCACAGGAGTGCAGAGAGGGGGAACACGTTTTCTTGAAGATGTTTTAAAGCTGGAACAAGCCTTCTTCTGTTGGTGCTTGAACTCTTGCCTGGGAATAACTTTTTTAACCTTAAAAAAAAAAACCCACTTTGATTCTTCTCTCCCACCCCTTCTTCTCTGTTCTTCTGTTTGCCTAACTCCCCCGCCCTGCTGGCCTCCCCTTTCCTCTCTCCCCCTTATTATTATTTTTAGTGTGTGCGCGTGGACGCTTTTGGAGAGCTGGAAGGGATTTTTTTCTCCTGACTTGAACATAGGGTGACTTTTAATTTTATTTTTTGGTGTGGATTATCTCTTTGGACCCCGCCGGACTTGGCCTCAGGAAGGCAACCGAGGCTGTCGAAGGCTGCTGGTGCAGAACGCTCTGCTCTACACAAGGGGGTCCCCCGCCCTCCTTCCACTTTTTTTTTGTTCTTCCCCTCCTTCTCTCTCTCTCTCTCTCTCTCTCTCTCCACTCCCCCCCTCTCTTCCCCACTCTTCTCCTCTCCCCCCTCGCGCCCACAGCGTTTGGTGTTGATTCGAGCGGGAAGAGGGGGGTGGGTGGGATCGGAGGGGGAGACCATGACCTCCAGCTACGGGCACGTTCTGGAGCGGCAACCGGCGCTGGGCGGCCGCTTGGACAGCCCGGGCAACCTCGACACCCTGCAGGCGAAAAAGAACTTCTCCGTTAGTCACCTGCTAGACCTGGAGGAAGCCGGGGACATGGTGGCGGCGCAGGCGGACGAGAGCGTGGGCGAGGCCGGCCGGAGCCTACTGGAGTCGCCGGGACTCACCAGCGGCAGCGACACCCCGCAACAGGACAGTGAGTGAGGGGCGCATGCCCGCGGGGGTGTGTGTCCCGGGTCGAGGGCGGGGGTCCGGGCTGGGCGGCTGGAGCCCGCCTGGGGCCAAGGGGAGAAAGTCAGGAACCAGGAGGGGTTGGTGGCAGTGGCCGGAGGAATGGCCGGTCACAGACAGAGGGAAAGGATGAGAAAAGGAGGGCTCCGCGGAGGACGGAGCCAGGGCGGACGCTGGAGGGAGGCCCTGCGATTGGGGTCAGGGACTCTGCCCGCCGCAGACTCTCGCCGAAGCCGACTGCGCTGCCTCTTCGTCCCGAACGAGTGCGGCTGCCAGATCTTCCCGCTTGCGGGGCGACGGGGCTGGGCTGGAAAAGGGTCCCAGAGCGGTGCAAATTCGGGGAGCCCGCCCTGTTTGGGAAAGCATTGGGTTAAAGATGCTCAGTCGAGTTCGGAGGGCTTCTTCCGGGTGGCGTAAGCGGGTTGGAGGGCAGACGGGACAGAGGTGGCAGAGGGCACCGTGTAAATCGAGCTAGACCCGCGCTGCTCTGGCTGGGCACCGCGCGCGGGCTCCGAAGGCCGGGTGTGCCGGAGAGGCGGCGCCGGAGCGCCCGGCTAGAAAGCCGGATCCGCTCTCTGTCCCCGGAGCCACTCTCTGTCCCCGGCTGTTGCGGACACCTGCATAAGGGTTTGAGACCCGCGGTAGAATGAAAGGCCTGAATGACACGGGAAGACTCAGGCGAAGCAAAGGTAGTGTCCTTTAGGGGTGAAACCCGAGCTGCCGCCCCGCATGAGCCCGCACGGGAGAGATGCGCTGGGGAAGCGCGGAGCACTGTCGCATTGAAGGAGCTCTCCCTACTGGCCCCAAAATTTCCAGAAAAGTCCATGTATAATCTCCCTTCCGCAACCTACCTGATTGGTATCGTGCCCCCAAGGAAATCTCACCTCGCATTATTAGCTGTACCTCAAAAAACGTGACTCCAAGTGTATCCATACGTCCTGGAGTCTATAACAGACCTGTCACCTGGCTCATCACAGGTGACATGGGGTTGGATATTTCCTAAACAAGGTTGTTAGAGTCAGAACTTGGCTGGAAGGTTTTAAATGAGGCTGATCCCTTTCCATGCCATTATTTGCTGACTGCTGTTTCGTCTTGGAACCTGGAGCCTGTGGAACCAGGGGGTCCACTGGAATTCTGTGCTTTTCCAAAAACAGTGCCAAGGTCAGATTCTCAGAAAACAGATAGCAAAGGAAACGGGACTTAGAAACAGCTGGAAGCAAGGCCTGTGAAAAATGGTGGGAGGGCCAAGCTGAAACAGGCCGCAGGGAGAGCCCATCTCTACCGCAGGCTGCCTGCTGTTCGCCCTGCATCCTTGGTCCAGGCCTGGGCTCCCCTTATAGTTTTTTAGCCAAAAGCAAACTGGGGCCGATCCACCCTACGACGCGCAGAGGCAGAGGGTGATGGGGAGTCTGACCTGGCCTGACACTAGGGAAAAACTGGGCAACTCTGAGGAGTGAAGACCCCGTGTCCCCAAGTCCCAGATAATGCCTGGGTGCAGAGGCCTCCTTGTTGAGGTTACTGGTTTCTGGGGAGCTTTCTGGGGAGCTGCTCAGGCCCAGCACAGCCAGGCAGCATGACTCAACCACCGAAGGCGTAGGCACTTGTAGCTCAAGAAAATGCACTGCAAAATAATATTATTTGAAAACACTTTACTAGGGAATATTTAAACATACAAAGAGTAGGGCGAATAGTATTACGAATTTCCATGTGCCTATTACCCAGCTTCACTAATTCTGCAAATTCTGCCGTTTTTTTGTTTTGCCATGGCTCATTATTAATCACAACGTTTGTCACTATTCGGAGAACTGAAGGCTGGAGCCACAACAGAAAACAACGTTGTGAAGAAACTGCTGTATAGAAAATCAGGGTGCGGCAAGGGAGATCAGCCAGGGCTGCTTTGCCCCAAAAGCAAGCGGAGGGCTGTGTAAAGCAGGCCCAGGGTCAGTGGCCGCAGCAAGCCCAGGGCCCACGCAGGCCAGGGCTGGAGAGATGCTGACGGTTCCTGTCGTTTGACTTTAAGTGGACACAAAGAGAGGGGAGTTCGAGTTCATGGTGGCCTTCTAGTGGGTACAGAGCAAGACTGGGCTGAGGAGGCCAGCTGGGAAGCACCCCCAAGCTGAGGCGAGGCCACAGTGGTGGGGAGGCAGCCCAGGGATGGCTCTTTCAAGACCCAGGCCTGGCGCAGCTAAGGCTGCGTTGAGCACGTGACAACCGCGGGATGGTTGGGGACAGGCAAAGGGCAGCAGGCAGAGTTGGGGACCGTTTGTCCTGAGGGAAAGGGATGACACCTGTGGGAACCTGCCTGCTTGATACTGGAGCACATCACAGAGTTTCTAGTAGTAAGGAGGCCTAGTGGGGAGTGACCCCAGAAAGGAAACAGATTCTGGGGGAGAGGGTGTTTGAGGAAGAATGGTAGACAAACAGTTCCAGAGGGAGGTCGCAGAATGCAGAGCGAGGTGATGGGAATGAGCTGATGGACAGACACCTGGGGCTGAGAAAGTAGCCGGGAAAACACACACAACCAACCCCCCCCCCCACACACACACACACGCCAGAGGCCTTGCTTTCTGGAGATGACCAGGGCCTATCCTAACAAATAGTAGTTGCTTTTAGAAGCAATGTTTCCTCAACCTCCTTCCCCATCTCTGGGATGAGAATAAGAGGGTTTGGTAAGTTGAGTGATAGCAAGTGTCCAGGAGGACCTTTGTCCTTAGTCTTGGGCCCCAACCAGGAGATGCCAAGGAACCTGTCATGAGCTACCTAGAAGTCAGGACCAGTGGAGCCCTGCTGGGCCTCCAGTCCACTGTGGACAGTGAGGGTCAGACTGTGAATCAGAGAAGAGAGGAGTCTCCAGGCAGGGTGTTAGAGCTAGGCTGCCAGCTGCAAGACACAGAGGAGGGCACCGAGAGTCAGGCGCTTTGAGCAGCCTGCTGGGAGTCTGCTCCAGAGTGAGAAATCATAATCTCCTTTGCAGAGATGAGGAACATTTAAAAGACACCTTTTCCTCTTAGAGCTATATAGAAACAGGTCCTTCCTAAATTTTCTGTTCAGCTGAAATAAGTAAAACAGACTCTACTTACACTTGCAATGTTAGATGATTAATACTGCAAATTTTTCTGAATTACAAACTGGACCCATCTTAGCAAAGAGGAGCCACGTACTGTCCAAAGTGAAGGCTTCCCACTGATCTCCTGCACTCCACACCACAATTCTGTCCCCCCCTTTTTTATTCACTTCACTTTCCTCTCTGTTGAAGGATTTCTTTCTCCTTTTACTGATACTCCCAGCCTAGTAAATTTCTCAAACTTCTCGGTTCAAATATCTTAAGTGTTTAAAGAAACGGTTCTTTAACACGGTTAGAAATCCAGTGGCTAATGGGGGAGTGTGGAGTGAGAAGGGGGTGGTGGTAGAACAGGGGTAGTCAGGGAGAGGAAAGAGAAACAGGTCATAAAAATAGGCAGACCTACTTCTAGGAGGACGGTGCATCCCGCTGTCATTTCTTAATCTGAACTTCTGCAAACTCTTAAAAAAAAAAAAAAAAAAA